AGTTGGCAAAACTGTAAACTACAAGTTTCATTCTTGACGACCTAATATAACATAAATATTTTCAAATAATAATAAGTTAATAGAGAACAACTTTCTGCAAGTTAAGAACGAATGAATTAGATTTTACCAAATGTTTCCCGTTAAATTTTGTTTTCGAATGATGTGCATAGAATAAACGTAATGATTATTTTGATTACAGAAACATTCCTATTTATTAACCGATTATCCATTTTATATAACATGTTGCATGAATAAATTAATGGCAATAGTTTCGTTTATGGAAGGCTGTTTCATTGATTTTGATCTTGACATAATTGATAAAAATCATCTTCCGAGTAATTTCCGATAGTTGTCTCTCGTTTTTTGTTAAATTGTTATGAATAAAAAAGGTTTCTAAAGATGACAATTGCGTTAAAATGGCATATATACATATTCGTGTTAGAGTGAACCTGTTACTCTTTGCAACAGAGAAATTTTCAAATTTTCGCTGCGATTATAGTTCAGAATTATTATGTTCACCCGATAGACACGCCACACTGCCGCATAGTGGCATAAAAGCCTGAAATTGTGTCATTGGGGAGTTTTTCTTAGGGATTGGATAGTTTAATGATGCGTCCGTGTGGTGGGAAAAATAAAATGACCCATATTTTTACTTACTCTTGAGCATAATCGATGAGTGAAGTGGATAATGTGAAGCGTGTATCTTTTTGTGGAAGTGTCTTTTTTCAATCGTGTAAAATGGATATTGTTCCTAATGGTAAGTACAACATTTTGTACCGTTAACATATATATAACATATATTTGTGTTTGCATTTGAGATGCACATAGAGGAAAGTACACTGGATGGAACAAATTTCCCAAAATTTGAAAAATGGCTGGAAGAATCGGTAATTTTTCGAGTGCCCTTCGCCTGTGTTAGGAATGAAGTCAGAAATTTAAACGGTCGTCCTTCTTCCAACTTCGACGATTTGAGTGACCGAACGAAGGGACGGAGAACAGAAACAATTCGTTCAAATAATAGTTCTAAAATTCTGGGCTATGTAACACAGATAAGCCTCCGAGCGGATGGAAATTTAAGTGCATCGAAGATTGTTAAGGAGGTAAGCTCTTAACCGGCCAGAGCAGGAGAATATAGAAAATTGCTGAAATGCAAAAAAGGAACCACCCTTTCCGATGATGCTGCATTATTCAAAATAAGCTCTCTAAGAACCAATATTTGCGAGCAGTAAGCCGGGAGAATAACTGTTCGCTATATCCAGCATATGAAAAAATACTACAATCAAAAAATAAATGTTATCCCGAAAAGTCGGAGATTTTAGTGAATAAATTTTGCGCTGAAGTAAAGCTTGAAGCTGAAGTAAAGAATATTGCTTGTGCAAAGCAGCGTTATTTCTACATTGACTCCGCAACAATTACAAAATATATTAATGATCTGTAAGTGTAGATGCGATGGATCGTCTGGCCAGAGCATATATAAACAAACATTCACAAATGATGCATTGTCAGATGCAGACATATTTTTAATTTCTCTAGTACCGCTGCAGGTTGTTACAAAGAGTAAAGAGTCAAAAGAAAATTTAATAATTTGGACAAACCCAAGACCCACATCTCCACGTTTCTGTAGACCGATAAAAATGCAATTTTTATACAGCTATTATAGATGGGAAAGAGCTCAATGTAAAATACAAGTTGTATTTCACAATGATAGACGCGAATTGCAGTGCTTTTTATGCAATGCTATGTCGAAAGAATTTATCGATATAGATTTCATTTTAAAACAAAACATAAAGGAGGACAACATACAATTCGGACACAGCATAAATTAAGTATCAAAAAATGGCAAACATGCACTCCAGAAGAAAAAACAATAGTCATAGAGTGCAAGCTCAACATCCAAAAAGGTCTTCGTTCAGAATTGGGCATACTTGTCGATCAGCCGAAACAAGGATTTGGCAGCACAAATGATGGGAATGTTCTTGCTATTATTAATATTATATGAAGTATATTGTAATTCTACAATTGAATAGTATTATTACGTTGATTTTTTGAAAATCATGCAGTATCTGCGCGGATAACTGGAATCGATGAGATTTTAATTACACAATTCTATGTTGTGTTACAAGTCATTTCAAGCTGCAACGAAATTGATAATGAAAAGTTCATAATATACGCTAATGTTTGTTGGATTGGACCCGTGGTATTACATGCCAACAATGGTGCACAAATTATTAATACATGGTGCAGCGATTATTTCATCTTCGATTCTCCCAATTGGAATGATGTCGGAGGATGCGCAGAAATCATTAAAAAAAATATATTAGGAGGTTCCGCGAGGACTTTGCACGAAAATCTAGCAGAATTAAAACAATGGAGGACGTTTTCGATCGATATTAATTAGTACTGATCCATGTGTCTCGACTGTCAGAAAGCTATCCCTAAAAAAGATGAAAAGTTTATACAAAGAGACCATAGATTTATTAACGGTACCAAAACGGCACCGTTGTTAAAATCGACATTTAATGTATAACAATGAATAAAAATGTCAATTAATAAAGTATTGATATAAATATATCACTGTTGTCTCTATTTTTACATTTTTTATACAGGAAGTGTCAATAATGACATTTGTCGGTGAAACGCGAGAATCTGTGAAAATATTTATCGAGGATTTCAGGGTAATCCCTATTTAACTTGAATCTCATTTATGGCAATTTTCCCCTACTCTCCGATGAAGAAGTCACTATTGTGACCATTATTGACTTCGCGAACCGAATCAAAGGGATCCGCGATCCTCAAGCGTCTAACAGTACCGCATATTCAAAAAGTATTTATCGTTTTATAACGGTCACGTAGAGCAGATCCTGGTTTTTTCGACAAACGCGCTCGCCACTTGAGCACGTAATAAACTGGAAACATGCCTTTTACTCCGAATAAAAAATCTCTTGGGTACTATTTGCAAGCCGATTTTTCAAAGAAAGAGAATCTAACCTTGACTCATTTATAAAAAATGCTTATTACCTTACCAGATACTCGAATGTTGTAATGTTATTTTTATACCTCTATCCTCAACACTCTGTTAGCAATCTGAGTCGTTCTTGGGAAACAATAAGGGAATCACATACAGTACTTCTTGCTTCGTAGCCGATCCACCTTCTCGCATAATCACGGAACCTTCCTGATTTCCCAATTTTTATACGTGTTATTATATGGAGTCCTGATCCCTACTTTACAATATTGGACTTTCCGAACGCTGTATCTAACAAAATTTTATCTTCAACCTTTCAGCTACTGTAGGCCAATAAAATACAGCTCCGTGTATCATTTTTTCAACAACTCATCCGCCATATTGAAACCGCCATTTTGTTTTTTGAATTTTGAAATTGAGATTCGTAATCAGGATTCCCGAAAATCTTATTTTGACCATGATTTCGAGCTTTTATACCACTATGCGCGGTATAGAACTTCCGGTTCATGCGTCACTTATTCCATTTTTTGCGTAACTTATTTTCTCGTCCGCTCTGGTTGCGACCGCTTGTCTACTGGATATATTCCTAGCAAAGGGGTGGGCGATAAAAATGCATGTATTATACACCAATCGATTTGTTTGACGCATAGATCACGAAACTGATAAGCGTGAATAAACTGAGAAATTTGTGGTTAAAATCTTCATATGACTGTCAATATTTCCAACATAGTAGCTATTTCTGGCTGTATACTGAACTGTGGTAGTATGAAATCTGCCGATGGATGGCACGAAAATCGGGGTTAGTGTCTGGGTTAGGTCAGGTGAGTGGAAAGTCCTTTACACCACGTGTTTCGATTTCAAACATAGAAATATTGAAATATTGATTTCAGCTACTTTTCACAACAGTAAGGAGTGCGCGGGTTAAGTCCGGTTGTGTGAGAGAGAGGGGAGGGGAGTTGGATCTTAAATACAAAATAATTCATTAAATTTCTTGATTTCGTTAATTTTATTTTACATTAATTTTATATTCACACGCGGTTATTGGAAAGTATCTTCTTTTTCGCTATAAAAACGGAATGAATTTTGTTTGTCTAAGAAAAAGGTTCTATCGATCATATTTACCGATGCTGTATCTTTGCAAATTCATTTGTTCCTTACCAAGGCGATGTTTAGTTTTTATTGTCTCTTACAAGTTACACCGTTAGTTGAAATGTCGAGTGTAAAAGAATTTCCCAAAAAGTGGAATTTGCTAAAACTCCATACTTTTTTTGTATGGATCGTGACGGGAAGACGTACCCTCTAAACTTGATCTAATCCAGACACTAACCCCGAGCCTCGTGCCATCTATCGGCAGATTTCATTCTATCACAGTTCAGTATACAGCCAGAAATGGCTATCATATTGCATTTTCACTAAAGGAAAAATTACTTCAAATGACCTCAGGAATCATTCCTTGCTGGGTGTTAACATAATTGTGGGACACCCTGTAGAGTGGCTCATCATCCATTTAAATCGGCTCGAGCGCACCTTTGACCATATTTCAATTCCTATAACTAACTCAAATTTCCTTCATGAATGATGACTATGGATAATGAAACATATTTTTCAGTCATATATAAGTATTATTTACAACTAAAGAAATCAAAATAATAAGTTTTATGGAATGACGCTTTTCACATTGATTATGATATAGTCTCTACACGATAATAATAATAATTTAAATAAATTCCAGACGGAACCGTTGTCTCCGCATTTGTTCAATTTGGAAGCTGAAAGATGGCGGCCGCTACGAACGAGGCTTTCTCCAGTATTTACATCCGGTAAACTCAAGGAAATGTTTCCGCTCATATTAGAATGTTCAGAGCACCTGGAACACTATCTGGAAACAGTCGTACAGACGGGAGATCCTGTGGAATGCCGTGAATTGTTGGCAAAATATGCGACGGATGTGATCGGTAGTTGTGCTTTTGGAATTGAAACAAATGCTTTATCAGACACGGAGAGCGAATTTCGTCGAGTGGGCAGAAATGTGTTCAAAACTAACTTTAGTCAACTATTACGGTTCCGCCTTAGACAAGCGATGCCGTGGCTTTACAGGTTGCTGGGCTATATACTTCCAGAGTCCGAAATAACGAAATTTTTCACCAAAGTCATCTCGGACACGCTACATTACAGAAGTGAAAATAATATTGTTAGACCAGACTTTGTTAATATGCTCCTTGAGCTTAAGAAGCACCCAGACAAATTGCAAAACATAAGTAAGTGTGACAAAATTACTCGATAAATATCAGCCTGATCATGACGTAGATGCAAGGCGTTTTACTAAAAGTGTTACAAGTCGATATCTTTAAATCTATCACTAACGATATCCAGGAAACTTATTTCAAGTTACAAGGTCCCTCCAAGTTTTTGAAAAGTGAGGGTGGTGACATCAAATTTAAAAATGAAATATGGAATAAAGGGCCTAGCCGATTAAGATGGTCAAAATAGCTCTTAGAGGTCTTTTCATTCATAAAAATTACTCGAAAACAAAAAATATCCTCCATTTTTATGTTAGTTCCCTGATAAGGTATTACCACAATCAGTATGCTCAATTTTTCTCAGATTTCTTGTAAGCCTGCGCCATTGTAAAAAAAAATTAAAAACCGAACTTCATGATGTTTTTGCTATGAAAAAGAAAGTTACTACTTGTTGGATTCACCATAAGTGTAGATTAAGTAATTTTAAACGTTATTATATTGAAAGAAGCAATTTTTTAACGTAGAAAATGCCATTTAAGAAAAAGAAAAAATTATGATGTGCGTGATATGATAAGTAAGGTGTCCGACTACGGAGCCGCTAGGCTAGGGTTCGAATCCCGTTGGAGGCATAGTTTTTTTCGTAACGCATACTTTATTTTTCCAATTGCATATCACATGATTTATTCACATGACCCTAAAAATATTTTTTTTGATATTTGAAAAATATTTAAGTCAAGATACTTACAAAAATAGTTTTGGAGTATCTCTTATTTTATCGATTCTCTAACTGTATATGTTCATTGTTATGGCTTTGCTTAATATTTTTTACAGTACAGTTCATTAATTTAGCTTCTAAGCCTATCGTCTTCAGCAGATATAAGTGGAATGAAAAGAAATTGCGGCTAATCTTGTCAGTTGTTATTGGTAATCTGCAGCTTCTTTTTTAAAGTGATCTGTTAATTGTGCAATTATTTATTTGTCATAATAGTATATATGTTTATGAAGTTTGATGGAAATAGACTTTGTAATTATGAGCGAAATGTCGGAAGAATAATAGACAGTCTACTAGATTATCTTTACGCTAAATATATATGTAATGTAAAAATACTTAACGCTGTAATCTGGATGGATTAAGATGAAAAATATGTGCGGTAGGGTTTGAATCGTTATCACTGTCTTTATTAATAATAGCGTCATAGCTATAAATATTCGAATCAAAATAATAATCGTTCTGCAACAATTTTTTCAATATTGACTATAACAGTCAGGGTCCCTGCCTTTTACTCATTATATTTACAGAGCTAACGGACACTTTATTGACTGCTCAAGCTTTTGTTTTTTTCGTTGCTGGCTTCGAAACTTCTTCCTCAGCGATGAGCAATGCTCTGTATGAGCTAGCTCAGAATCATGAAATACAAGATAAACTTCGAGAAGAAATTCGCCAACATTGCAATAAAAATAAAGGAAAATTAAAATACGAAGAGGTTAAAAAGATGACATATTTAGACTTGGTTTTCCGGGGTAAGTATGACAATTTTAAAGAATAATTTAAGAAGATTAAGAAGATTTCAATACGCGGTTTATTAATTCAAACAACTCATTTTTTTCTTCTTCTATCCAAATGAATTATATTACAAATCTTGTGCCTGTCAAACATGTCTCTTTTCAATACTGTAGACTTTAAACAACAATTGTAAAAATGGTTAAACTTCATTTTATCTAACTTTTGCACGTTTAAGAAGGAGAATAAGTTAAACTAAACTGTCATGTACATAGAAACATTAAGGAAATATCCGCCTGGACCCTTCCTAATGAGAAAATCAATGGAAAACTACTGTTTTGATGAAACTAAGGTCACAATTCCGAAAGGAACTCTTATTTGGATACCAATATTTTCTATTCATCGAAATGCCAAGATTTATCCAAATCCAGATTCATTTATTCCTGAAAGGTTTACCGATGATGTTATTCAAACTCGACATCCCATGTACTATTTACCCTTCGGTGATGGACCAAGAAATTGCATTGGTATGTAGTGACATGAACTATTAAATATAGCTTAAAATACCGCAGTAAGTTGAAGAAATTTGTTAAGTATAGCAGTGACAACGATGAGAATTTACTTGATTATTATTATATATTTTATTATATATTTATTATATATTATTATTATATATTATTATTATATATTATCATACAAAGTTTGTTTTGTAAACTTTCACCGGAGGAGATTGCTTAAATTATCTTTGAAGATAAAGAGTTGTATTTATCATTATTTGATATTGTTTCTGTATGATTGTAATTAGATGTACATATATTGCATTAATTGCAGGCGCTCGGTTTGCAGTCTATCAATCAAAACTTGGACTGATAAAAATACTTCGCAATCATAGAGTTGACGTTTGCGAAAAAACTATGATACCATACGTAATTGATCCAACTGCGTTCTTGTTAGCGCCAAAAGGAGGAATATACTTAAAGATAACAAAAGTAGATGATTAATATAAAGATTTAAAAACTTTTCAAAGGTAAAGGAGTAGATAATAGAATGAAATTATAATAATTGCTATGTGTAAGTGCTGTTAAATAAAATATCTTTATAATTTTACATTATGATTGTTTGAAATCGCGCGATCTCAAAGCCATCACGCGTTCTGTCATCCAGCCGCATACGTTGAAGTGATACCCTGACTAGGACTTGAAGAGGCGCTAGTCATCACCAAGTACAGTATTCTTTCTTAAGGATAGGACTCGCAATTTGGTATTGGTCACGCTAATTAGTAGCATTTTCGACCGCTAGATGGCGTGGGTATAATTTTCTGTGTATATCGCGCCACAGACAAGGTATCCGAATACATTGGACAGCTCATAAGGTTCCTTGTCACATGTTCTGAAATACCGACAGTAATAAAAACAGAGATTTTCTCGCATTTTCTGTCTCACAGCCTGCTAGTGAACTAATAAGACTGTAGCACGGAAATTTCATTTTTATTTTACAGTGTGGTCAGTCCTAAAAATCAATATAAAATGTTGCCGCGTGAGTTCTAGACTTTATCAACGAGGGAAAGTCTGTACCTATGTAGCTGAAAATGTGTTGGATGACAGGAACATTAGGAGCAGAGAGACAGTTCGTAGTGGATTTCGGTAAGGCACGAGGTACGGTAGGAGAAACCTCGCTTTTTCATGGCTTTCTGCTCGGGACTTTTCAATTTCTTAAATCTTGAAGGCAAAATTTAACAGGATATAATCCAGGCCAAAATGCAAATTTTATTTTTTCATTTGATAGCATTCATTTATATTATATCTACATTTATTTTCATCAAAACATTATTGTACAAACATAGAAATTTGATGTGCAAAATTATACATATACAATTGAGGCATTAAATCTCGTGTCAAATATCGGGACGGACGTGTTTGCATGATGTGTGCGCGTGTGTGATTCGAGCGTGAATGCAGGCACGTGTTAGATCGAATGTTTGGACGAGACAGTGTGAGAGAGAAAGGGTATCGAGAAATTTAACGGCGAACAGCGAAAATGAGAACAGAGCGCGAAAGAGAGAGGAAGAGAGAGAGAAAGAGCTATCAAAAAAGATATTGTCCATGTAATAAAACGTAGTTCTAATTCAACAATCGTTAAGTATTTTCTCGTCTTAATCCTTTGGGGTTCCTCGATCTTCCTACACAATGTTGATTGACTCGAGAGTCAAGAGCGAGCTCGTAAAAATGTTATTGCATACATTTATTGCGTATTTGGCGGCGGCTGAAATGGCTGTGTAGTGGAGAAAAGGAAGAGAAACGTTTCTTCCGAGACCCGATAGAGGACTCATCAGTAAGGCTATTCTAGCTGACCCTTGCCTTAGACGTTGGGACGTCGGAAGGACGGACGAATTCTGTATACAGAGTGTCCCAAAAATGTCTCGCATTATGGAAATGTAGGGTAGCTGAGGTCATTCTAAGTAACTTTTTCCTTTGCGAAAATGCAATTTGCGACTATGTAATGCGAGACATTTTTGGGACACCCTGTATATACAAATTGAGACGGATTCGTTACTTGCGGGAAGAGAATACATCTGTTGGCGGATCTGGAGGTAGCCGCCACATGTATATTATTCTACACATATGTACAATTGCTATTCACGTACGCTCTGTTTTCTATTACCATTTCCATTATCATTATTTCTATTATTATTATTTTCTATTACCATTACCATTACTTCTTACCACTTCACACAATTTTAATTTCAAGCAACATCAAATTTAATTCAAAAGAAAAGTTAAATTGACTTCTTTATTTTTTCATATACATTTCATTTAAACAGTATTATACAAGGTGTTCCACAATTATTTTAACAGCGACTTCGTTTACGAGTTATTAACGAAAAACACTGACAAATGAGAGGTGACGGTGCGAGGGAGAGGGTCCGCGAGAGAGCCCGCAGCACGAGGCTTTGACAGAAGGTCCGGACGGACTCGAACCGCGTTCAAAGTATTGAACAAATCACGAAGCGAGAACATCCCGGATTTTTTTTGACTACGTGACAGTGATATTTTTAAGAAAAACGCTGTTCACCTTTACTTTAGGACGTCTGAAGAATATTTACTAATTTTTCGAACCCGAAATAATAAGTAATTTAACCGTGAGACGGCCGTTTTAATTTTCTAGTGTACATGCCACCTCGTGTGTAACATATGAAATTTTTAAGCAATGTGTACAGTGAAGATTAACAAAGTACGTAAATGATATTTTAATTTAAATAATTCCGTGTCCGAACACAGTTCAACGAATGATTCGCAAAGCTAATTTAATAAATAATAATCGTGTGTTAAAATACGTAAGGGATATGTTCGTTAGACAAATATGAAGAATATTATCAATAAGAAACTCACCCATTTAGTTGTAAAATCCACTTCATGTATCCGACGGCGACGAACAGAAGGATGTCTCCGGCCAGGCAATTTCAACGTTTACTTTCACTGCACACTATCATCCTGCACACATTTCCGTGCATGAAGTGGATTTTACAACTAAATGGGTGAGTTTCTTATTTACAATATTCTTCATATTTCTATGATAGATATACATATCCCTTACGTCCAAGGGATTGCACGATTATTTTTTATTAAATTAGCTTTGCGAATCATTCGTTGAACTGTGTTCGGACACGGAATTATTTAAATTAAAATATCATTTACGTACTTTGTTAATCTTCACTGTACACCTTGCTTAAAAATTTCATATTACACACGAGGTGTCATGCACACTAGAAAATTAAAACGGCCGTCACGGTTAAATTACTTATTATTTCGGATTCGAAAAATTAGTAAATATTCTTCAGACATTCTGAAATAAGGTTAAAAAGCGTTTTTCTTAAAATTATCACTGTAACGTAGTAAAATAAAATTCGGAAGTTCACGCACCGTGACTTGTTCATTGATTCGAACGCAGCACGGAGCCCCCCCCCCCCATCTTCTATCGCGCTCCACGGTCGAAGCACGTTTCACTCAATCGATCGACCACATTGTAATTCGCGCCTTCACCTCTCATTGGTCAGTGTTTTTCGTTAATAACTCGTAAACAAAACCACGGACTGCATTTCCGAAAAGGAAAAAGTTACTTCAAATGACCTCAGTTGCCTCTCATGTTCGGCTGTTAAAAAAATTGTGGAACACCCTGTATACTAACGTGATTTAATTTAGATAACAGGATTCTTATTTTTCATCCAATCATAATATCCCAAAATTTACAAACTCGTGATTTCACCCTTGACTCATCCTCAAAGTTTGTCTCATAACCTTGCCGCATTATATTCGAACCTTTTCCTGGTCATGTCATCTACAAAACTCTGACTTCACCATACTAGCCCTTAGAATTCCAAAATCTCCACCACACAAGTTTAAAACCTACAAATACATACGCTGTTCTTCTTCAGATCAATAGATTCTCCATTCTCTAAAGTTCGTACACATTTTGTTCGACTGTCTTAGACTACTATATATTCTGCTAACGTACAGTATATTGTCAACGTGTGTTCGGTGAAGTTCCGTTGTATCTTAGAAATAAAATACTCTTTAACGGGATACAACAACGATAACAATTTTAATTGCCAAAAGATCTTATGAAATATCAATTATCATTAATTATGAAATTCGAGAAAGTTAATCAATCCAGAATACATCATATTGTTACGCCGACTTGTCCAAATCAAGTCGCTGTAATGTGAAACTGCCCTGTTGTGAACAACTCCTTAAAAAATAATGGAAGATAGGGGTTGCCAAGGAATAGTGAACGTATGACTATTCCAACCACAAAGGACGAAAGGAAAATGTTCCAAGTTGCAGTCCGCGTGGGAAGGTCCTTATATGGTACAGGACCGCCTGAACGACATTATCTATCGTGTAACTCGTTTTTCGAAGTCGAAACCAAAAATCGTACACGTTAACCGCTTGGCTCGCTACGACGCTGTACACAGAAACCTTTGACTGTCTCTCACCCAAGAAGAGGACGTTTCTTCGCAGAAGGTGAGGGAGTGATCTGTGTACTGACACGCTGGACTCTTTCCATTTGTGGAAAAAACGGTTCGATGGGGGAAGGAAGTTGTATCCTCTGGAAGGTTACGTCCTCCCATTGGGGAGTGAGGACGTGTTCTCAGGAGGGGGCACACCATTTTTTGACTGGTCCATAAAAAGAGGTGCATGGGATCCAATATTACTGCAGGTAGTATCCTGTGGTGATTAGAGGAGCATCCGGGGAAGAGTTTTGGTGAATGTTAACAGCAGGGAACTCCCGGGAAATCTACAAGTGAGAAGTTCTCAAAACTTCTGCAAGAAAGAAATGCTCAAGCCTCAAAATGAAGAATTAAGAGGAAGGGTGAGCGACAGAAATTAGAGCTGTACGCGTCGTAGAAGTACTGACGTTCTGCTCAAGGTTTTTTGGTGGTTTTCCCTTGAGATGGAGGAAAAGGGCACCTGGGTGACTAATTACATTCTTTCATTGCTTACCTACTTTTCAGACAGAAGTACTTGCGTTGGAGGTTACCTGTCAGTTGTCCGATGGAACGATAGTTCGAGGTTATAGGACTGAAGCTGGCAGGATTAACGGTTCGATTGTCGTTGATCAACAGAAGTGAAATTTGCCGCGGCCGGGACGGCCGCTTATTCGGCAGGGAGGGCAGCGTTACGGCGACTTGTTCAAATCAAGTCACTGTAATGTGAAACTGTCCTGCTGTGAGCAACTCCTTAAAAAATAATGGAAGATAGGGGTTGCCAAAGAATAGTGATACCAATGGACAATCGAAAAGTCAAGATCGGACCGTCGAACAACCAACGTTTCAAATTCAAAGATCTATAACATAATTAAATTGAATTGTATTATAGCTTATATTCTTTATTGTAAATAAAATGCCGCGACAAGAGAAAAACGGAGTGATTCGCAACAATATTAAAATATTTCGAACTTTCTTTTAACAGCATCGTTTGATATAAATTTATTTTTAAATTGTGAAGCAGATATATTTCCGGTTCTTAGCCATGTGAATTTGAATATAATATTGTGAAACTATTTCTAAACATCTAAAATGAATTTGAAGCTATAAGGCTGTACCAGCT